AATATATATATATATATATATACCACATTCACACTAGACTTTTCAATTGTTTTCTTTTTTATTCAAAGTTAAAAAAAAAACCTTACATAAATATAAAAGTCTGTAATATATGCTTCTCTTATGTAAGCACATTAAAATTTCTAAATGAAAATTACATCCCAGGAGATGTGACTAATCACATTTTCACTCAAATAATTTACTATAAAGAAGTTGTGCATGCAAAAGTTACATTTAACATCTCAGGGGCAGTTGGATTCTGTTGTTGTTTCAAATATTTACACAAGATATAAAGTTACACTTACAGTGTGTTTAATGGTAAATCTGATTTGTTGTTCAAGTTTAGTTCCAATTAGGATTGATATAAACTATATATTGATGATTGGCAAATATGTATGTATTTCCTAATAGATAGACTTATGTTAGATATATATATATATCTTAAGTTCTGTTTGCTGGGCACAATCTGAATTCTGTTCCCATTAGTTAGACATACATTATGTTGCATCGTACAGACTGAATTTTGCTCTCACTAGTTGGCTTAATTATGTTGAAGTAGTGTAAATACTAAATAATACAAAAAACCTCTAAAAAACATTTTTTTAAAACAACTACATCTTGAGGCTATCCATTCAGATTTTAATTCAGTGATATACTGTACATTGAACCATATTAAAGAAGACATCCTTCTCATCATATGCACAGTATATACTGTTTCACAATCACTTACTGATGGCAGAATTTTATAAGATTTTCTGTTTTTGACTTAGTAAGTTGTTTAATGTTGTTCCTTACTAATTTATGTCAAATCTTCGGGGCTGCTTCATGAGGAAAGCATGTTCATGCATACTAAGTGGATCCCTCACAGTTAGCTGTGTATTACACCTGCATTTTCCTGATACAGAATAAAGTAAATTCAGTTTCTAACAGCCAGGTAGAATTCCAGTCTCAGTTCATGTCTGGGGAAACAGTTCCCCTACAGTGCAGGAGTACAGTTTATATTGAGTTTGGACCTGTGAAGAAATACAAATGTCTAAACCATTCTTTCATAGTGTGAACAGAAAAATTTACTGATTAGCCTTTGATAAAATATTTAGCCTTAACATGGAGTAAGATCTTGGTGATTTCATTTACAACATCTAATTTTATGAGGTTCAATTTTAAGTTCCAGATAATTTTTATTTGTGCTAACAACCATTAGTTACCTGATGGTAATATTTGATTCTGAAATCCAACTGAGAAACACAATTTACAAGGTCTCCTTTTTCCTGCTTTCTACAGTTCTGATAGTGCATCACTAGGGTTGAATATTCATTTAATGATGTTAATATGTTTAAATTTCTCTGTTTCCAAACATACCAATTGTGTATCAATGAGAAAAGTTCTTCTAGACTACAGTGCCAGGAAGAAGAACAAAGAAAAACATACCTATTGTGTCGCATATGGGAGCGGACCAAATGGCCAGCAGCTAGTGCTGACAAAAGGGACAATTCTCCTGCTAACACTGTACCACAAACTACCGATGCTAAGGTCGCTGCATTCTGACCTGGATCAACAGCCGATGCTCCCCGAACTCCCAGAAGCTGTAAAGATGATTTTAATTATGAACAAGGTTCGTTTTTCTGTTGACATGAATATTTATGAGGTCAAATATTAAAGAATAAGTGTGATATGTCGTGCATAAACATTTAAAACTCCATAATAAGAGAAAAGATAAGTAGAAATGTTAGTAATTATTGATTTGAGTATTCAAAATTATTGTATATTAGATCATGGGAAGACTATCCTGATTCAATTAGATACATGTCAATAAGCTGTTTTTGTCATAAAATATTGTACAAATTAAGAAAATAATTAATTAAAATACCAAAATATGAAGATATTTGTTATTTAACAAGTAACGTGATTGGCTGTGGTGCATTAAATTGCTTAAGTACCTTCCAATATGAACAATACAAAGTATACATCTTTTTTGACTGAAAAATAAATACTAAATTTATAAATTAGTGACATTCATGAACTTCCAAGTCAGCAAACAATATAAAAAAAGCAGAAAATTTTAATTAATCTGATCAATTTCAAGGAAAACTAAGTAACACATCAACTATTATTTTATGATAAACAGTTTCTTACCTTGCAAATAAATAGTCTTACAGTTTCTAACAAACAAAGTTACATTAAATTTCATTGTACACATACACACAATTTACAAAACTGCTAAATACTTTGTCTTTGTTGGATGTTCACTCTAAATATCTCTCTTGCTTTGTATATTACGATCAAATACGGCTTTTAACCCCTTCCCATTCTTTAGAAAAACTTAAACTCATAGATTATGAGGAAAAATGTTCTATGAAAATATTCCAGCTAAACATAAAGTGATGACACTACTAACATCTGTTATTCCAGAATACTTAGAACGTCCAAATAACCACGTATACAAATTTTACCGTTCCTTCTTAATTTTAGGTTTAGCAGCTTTATGTTGTTATTTATCTTGAATTAAATTCTTATTAGTTTCTAACAACAGATTGGACGGCTACAATGTCTCATACAAAGAAAAATGGTTGTTGATGTTTCCATATTAAATATCTTTTTTTATGATAAGAAACTCTTAATATTAACACTGGTTTCATCTACATAACCTTCCTCACAGGATTGGCATGGTATAATATAAATACCTTGTGTTTTTTTTTATTCTTCAGGTGTTGTTCTATTTGAAGTTAGGTTAATGTTAATGGTATTTGTATATGATTCTAAAGTTATTTTTCATGAATATTTTCTCTAGGAGCTCAATTTTTGTGTTGCAGCCACATAAAAATGGTTTTGTATTATTATTGTTTGGCTTCCTGTGTCTTCATGGAACAAGGTCGAAAGCTGCTTAATTAAAAGCCTAATTTTATCAACCATGAAGGTCAGTTTAAGCTAAACAGCTTTATCATGTCCTGCTCCTTATGAGAATTTGAAGTTACTGCATCACGAGTTGTTGATCAGTTTTCCTTCCAGAAGACATCATAAGGATGAAGAGGACTCATGAATGTATTGAGGCTAGTTTCTGCTACACATGATATTGTGTTACAAAGTCGTAAAATGTGGTTCCTTTCAAATTTATTTTACAATCTTTCTTTAATATGGTAAGCTATGCAATTCCAAATGGAAAAGTTATTAAATACTGAAAAAAAACTGTATATACTACTATAAAAGCAACTACAAATAAGAAGCTGATATATAGAGGGTTGAATATATTACATTAAAACAATTTTGAATATGCAAATCAGCAAGTCACATGACAACCACATCTAATACAGTCAAAATGGAACAGCATCTACCAGAACTACCTTTTGACATTGTTTGACATTTTGTAGATATTTTTATTGCTTTTGGGAATTGTATGTAACAGTCCTTTTCAAAGCAAAATAACCGTACACTAAGCTCATAACCAAGTGTTCAGATTGTGGATTTAGAACTTTGAAGATGTGAATATCCCTTGTAATTAATGGCTTGGTTTGTTTTGAATTTCGTGCAAAGCTACACGAGGGCTATCTGTCCTTAATTTAGCAGTGTAAGACTAGAGCCAACTTTTGGGCCACTCTTTTACCAACAAATAGTGGGATTGATTGTCACATTATAATGCCCCCATGGCTGAAAGGGTGAGCATGTTTGGTGTGATGGGGATTCGAACCTGCGACCCTCAGATTGCAAGCCGAGCACCCTGATCACTTGGCCATGCCGGCCCTACTTAATGGCACTGGAAAACAAAGGAATATGGATCAACCTGGAGCACTAGGACCATCCAAGTCATACCCCAATGAAAGTGCTATGTTTTGTAAAAGGTAAGAATCCACCAATATGAAGGCCAATGGCAAAAACTACCCACATGTTCCAGGCATGCAACAAAATCAAAAAAGCAACAAGTTATGTGTACATGAGTTACTTCAATGACATCACTTCAAGCACTGCATACATCAAGCAACTAGAGAATGAAACAGGTACTCATACTATTTGATACAAAGACATACTGGTCAAGCCACTGGATACAGTGCATATAGATTTCTGTGCATTTGGACTATTAAAAATGGAACTGAGAAACTGTTGTCTTTGTACACTAGATGGATTATTATAAGCTTGCATGGAGGAATGCTTCACTTTGGGCATGACAACACCTTGTGCAATGGAAACTATGATGCAGGGCTATGTTCAAGATACACAGTTGTCAGACAGAGCATGACTGAATGTGGTGAAGTTACAAATTCATTTTAATATAACATATTCAACCACTGTATAAGGATATTGTATATAACCAAACTATTTCTCTGAACTGTGCCTAGTTTACTAATTAACCTAAAACTTTGAAATAAGCATAAAAAAAAGAGGTATATTTCCTTCCTCTACACACTAAAAACAAGGTAATACTCACGTCTAAACACGCAGCCTGAGGAGATAGCACTGTACCACCTCCTATAGTCCCTATTTCTATGGAGGGCATGGTACAACTGATGTGCAAGTTTTCTCCATTCTCACCAGATGGCTCCATTAAAGTCATACAGTTGGAACTTTCAACATTTTGAGCAGGATCCTGAGGATTATAAAAATCATGAAAACATAAAAAATTACCTTAATATATTTTGAGTTTCAGACATTCAAGCATAAAGAACATTGCAAAGGAACTAGAGGAATAAAACCTTCTGTTCAAAAACATATTTATTATGACTTTGGAAGAAGTTAGGGTTGAGTTAGGTTTTTGTGGTGAAAAGTCATTTCCAAAGAGGTTACTTCAGTACAATAACAAATCTTTTAAGGTCTTCATATTATATTTTTGAGATAAACTACAACTGTATTTAGATAAAGTTACTTTAACGTTATCTCTAAATGTTATCAAGATAGAGCCTAAGTGAGTTTTCCTTGGAAAATAATTCCATATAGTATCAAACTGATACCTAACATGTGAAACTACATTATAAGTCATCCACTTAAGCATAAAATATGTATTATATTTATTACAAAGTATGTAAATTACAATGAAATATAAAAAAATCATTTTAATACATACTAGTGAAATGCCCCCCAAAAAACTGTCAATGGACTGATAAAGTATTGTTTTTAAAAAAGGCAAAAATATGTTGGAAAACAACAACAAAAAATCACATTGTTTGTAACCCATGGAAAATTTAAAAAGAACAGTGGGGATGACTTAATATTAGACTTTCAGATGCTGTACCCATGCTTTTTTTATATTTTTTAATCTAGCAATTATCTTGAATAAGCAGTATTAAGTACCAGTGCAAAATACTGGAAAAAAAGGTAAAGTTAAAAAATAATTCCTATAAAAGATAACCCTTTACAAATTTCACTGATATCTTTCCTAACAAAGTTATTCTGAAAAACGTCTTACTGGTTGTAAAAATCTTTGAGTTTAACTCTTTAAAAACTTTCAGTGAAATTTTCAAAGAGGTTGAAAAATAACCATTTCCTGTAAACAATGCTAGTAATATTGTTGCTGTACCTGTCCTGTAGCTATGAAAATAGCTGTAACAATATTAGCTGCTTGAGCATTAAAACCACCAACACTTCCTGCTACAGCAGATCCAATCAGATTCTTACTAATGTTGACATCGATCAAAGTTTGAACGGACGTCTTGAGTACCTAGTAAAGATAGTCATGGAAAATATTCTACTATTATTCAAACTATGCAGTGCTCCCTTGAGGGTGCTCACAGTCTTACCACACCAAAAAAAAACATAAACCAAGTGCTTGACTAGTATTGGCGTTAAAATTAAACATTTGAAATTACTAGTTTTCAATAAATTCAACTGAGAGGAAAATATAATATAATTTTGATCAACAGAATCAAATAATTTGATACATGAAACAACACTATACAAAAACTATTCCAAATTTTCAAGTGGGTTAATTTCTGCAGTGATTAATAAACTGATAATAATAACTTACAATATTAACCTTTATTTGCATACTGAAAATGTTAGTGGTACTTTCTACTGGCTGCTACAAATGAATACTTTTTGTTAATAAAACTTAAAACCTTTTGAATATGAACAATTATTTACAGTGACAGTAGATAAACACCTATGAATGTTTATGTAGGCTAGAAATCTCTCACTGACTGTTCGATGTGAAAAGTATATGATGGTGGTGGTAAACACCTTCTACTGGCTGTTCAGTGTAAACAGCAAATGTTGATGATGGTAAACACCTTGTGCTGGGTGTTCAGCGTAAACAATATATGATGATGATGGTAAACACCTTGTGCTGGGTGTTCAGCGTAAACAATATATGATGATGGTGGTAAACACCTTGTGCTGGGTGTTCAGCGTAAACAGTATATGATGAAGATGGTAAACACCTTCTACTGGCTGTTCAGCGTAAACAGTAAATAATGATTACGGTAAACACCTTGTACTGGGTGTTCAGTGTGGGCAATAAATGATGATGACGGTAAACACCTTGTGCTGGGTGTTCAGCGTAAACAACATATGATGATGGTGGTAAACACCTTGTACTGGGTGTTCAGCGTAAACAGTATATGATGATGGCGGTAAACACCTTGTGCTGGGTGTTCAGTGTAAACATTAAATGATGATGGCAGTAAACACCTTGTACTGGGTGTTCAGTGTGGGCAATAAATGATGATAATGGTGGTAAACACCTTATACTGGCTGTTCAGTGTAAACAGTAAATGATGATGGTGGTGGTGGTAAACACCTTGTACAGGGTGTTAAGTGTAAACAGTAAACTCCTTGTACTGGGTGTTCAGTGTAAACAGTTAACTCCTTGTAATGTGTGTTCAGTGTAAACAGTAAACTCCTTGTACTGGGTGTTCAGTGTAAACAGTAAACTCCTTGTACTGGGTGTTCAGTGTAAACAGTAAACTCCTTGTACTGGGTGTTCAGTGTAAACAGTAAATGATGATGGTGGTAAAAACCTTTACCTGACTGATGAACATAGGCTGATGAGCATGAATGATACATTTTTGTGGTACTTGATACTTCTATTAATTTTTTTTTGTTTTTAATATGAATTTTGGGTGCCATGGATACTGTGATGATAGGCATTTGCTACTGGTTGTTGAACATAAATATTCAATGTGAAGACTTGCTATTGGTTACTGATTAATCATAATAATAATAATCCCAGTAAAGAAGGAGAGTATTTATCTGAAAAATGTTACATTAAAATAAAGTGTATCATGTATTTACACTTCAATCGAAAAAAAAAAAAGATTATGGTGCAGTTCATATGTTAGATTAATTCTACTTAACTTGGAAATGGTGCTTAAGTTTAATTAGTCCTACTTTACTTGGAAAAGGTGCTAAAGGTTAATCAGTCCTACTTAACTTGGAAAAGGTGCTTAAGGTTAATCAGCCCTACTTAACTTGGAAAAGGTGCTAAAGGTTAATCAGTCCTGCTTAACTTGGAAAAGGTGCTAAAGGTTAATAGTGGATCATCACTCACAGCAACTAGACACCTTTATCTGCACAATCACATATAACACTGAGATAAGCAGTGTGATAATAACACTACTGAGTTCAAGCAGAAACTGTGCATGAAATTAGCATTTAATTATCGATGGTTTCAAATAGGTAAAGATGAAATAAACAATAGGAGTTATAATACATCTAACTTCTAATCAAAAAAATCTTTTACTCACGTTCTTCACAACCTTAGCTGGAATCTCAGCTTCACACACAACCGATTTTCCTCTTCCTTCAATCCTATAGATGTTATTGTAAATAAATTATTCAAACCCAGAATACAAATCCCAATTATGTAAACATATAGCAGAATAGAAAATATTAAAACTGGAATAAAAATCTTTAAGTCGTAAGAAGAAAGGAATTAAGGACTTTAATCTTCATATTTAAAAAATCCACAATGCATTTGATAATTCTCTAAGTAAACAAACATTGTGAGCTGTTTTCATTTATCCAAATCACATTATAAAACGGTTTTAATATTATAAGAGTATTTTGATCTATTTGTTTCAACATGTTACACAAAGTAAGATTTATTTTAATGAAGAAATATAAAGATTTTATAAATTTACAGTATTTTTCTAATAGTTTCATCTAACACAGTTCTTAGAATGTACATTCCAAAAGCATGACTCACAAAATATTCCATGAATTTTATTCTTTCCCACAATATGATTGCTAAAAAAATTGTCCTTTTGTACAGTTTGCTCACTCACATAATGCAAGCATATTTATTTTACAACTACAGATATAACTTTCTTTTAGTTCTTTTTCACTCCTTCAGTACAAGTCTTACCAATTAACAGCCGAAGGCTTCTTGTCAGTACAGTAGTTACCACTAAGACTAATAACTTCAATACCCGGAAAAATCTTCTGAAGTTTATGTAGGGAAACTTCAGTACCCTGTAGAATATACAAAGAAAGACTGACTTTCCTCAGTCTGATCAAAGGGACAAAACATTTACAAACCTTCCATAGTTAGAGACAAAAAATAAGAACTTGCTGGTGGATGGAAACAGTTAAAATAGTACAACCTATAGTTCTGGATTTTTCAGGAGTAATAAAAACTAACAGTTTTAGCTTTCTGTGAAAGAATGGTTTCTCCTGATGGTGGACAATTCATTTTCACTACAGCTTGCTTTTTTTCTTTCATTCTTACGTTTAAATTGTTCAGAACACTCAGATTTTGTATATGACATATATTTTTATTAATTTTTAATAATTAAACCAGTTCTTTAAACTATGTGTATCTATCCAAATTGTTTCCAATTTACCAGTTAACAATTGTTTACTGATGAAAAGATAAATTACTACAAAAAAAGTAAAAGCACAATGATTTAGTTAAAATTTTCTTCAATTGTGTATGAACAACATATAGTTTAACAATATATCATCAGCTACAACCAATGGAGCCCAAGTATCCTCATCATTAACAATATATCAATCAGCTACAACCAATAAGGCCAACTATCCTCATCATTAACAATATATCATCAGCTACAACCAATGGAGCCCAACTATCCTCATCATTAACAATATATCATCAGCTACAACCAATGGAGCCCAACTATCCTCATCATTAACAATATATCATCAGCTACAACCAATGGAGCCCAACTATCCCCATCATTAACAATATATCATCAGTATGTGAAAGACTTGTAATGTGAACCGAAAGACTGCCAAATTTTGTGAAGATATACACACTGTATTGAAAGTTAAAAGTATTAAATCTATAGACTTTAATTGAGTACAATAAGGTCACATGGTCAGTCAAATTGACCAAGCCCGTGTTGAGAGAGTTAAGTACACGTGTTGAATCCAAAGCCAAAAGCCTACATAAAAAAAGTGGAAATTTTTCCTATTTCAGAAGATTTTTTATTTCCCTTCTCAAGCAGATTCTAAAAAAAACAAAAAACAACAACAAAAAAAAAAGCTCTTATACACTATTGGACAATTTCCAGTTAACATTATTGTAATGGAGCCACCCAACTCTAGGTGATGGATGCTAACACACACAGTACATCATCTTTACAGGAAATATCAAATAATAATAATAAAGAATAAATATAATACCCATTACTGTCTGAGAAAAGTTAAGTAAGAAAATGAAGTCAACTCTAAAATATTTAGTAAAAATCAAAATTATCTTCACATTTACTGGTTATGATAACCCTTTTCTTGCAAAATTATTAAAAAGGGTTGTCTTAACCAGTAACTGGGAAAATAATCAAATTAAATACAATTTTCATTATTACTAATTACTTTAGATTTGACTTTCTCTGGTAGTAGCTATATTTTACGTGTTAAATCACACAAAAAGTACTGAATTGTTTTGTACTCACTTTAGAGACCATGTTCATCCCCATGGCATCACCGGTGGCTGCTTTAAATCTGATAAACAGATACCGACCAGCAATCCTTGTGCTAATCTTCTGTAGCCTAGCAAATCTGAAAATGAAGTTAATCTCAGGAGTTTATTAATTGGTAACTATAGGATTAAACAAGATACATTAAATAGACTTACAACTAATTTTGTATTTCAAAAACTGTTTACTTGAGGATTCAATGCTGAAACTGTGACTTCAAATCATAACGCAGTTAAGATGCAACAGATATGCAAATAATTCAAGTGTTTTTCTCAACAAATAACATGCAAAACAAAATAAATATTTCTAAAATTCCATGCAGAGCATTTGTAAGTATTTCAATATTTTAAAAATAGTGGAATTAATTTGGAGTTTAATTCATTAGAATGACTACAACTTTTGTAAGATAAAGCAAGCAGAGTTATCCAAAATCTTGGTGTACTGTATGAAAGAAAGGTAGGGCAGAAAAATAACAAATACAAACGCTCTTAAAATAGGTTAAGTAAGAGTTTTAAAACTTATAATATACTGGTAACTTAATACAAGACCAGAAATTAAAACTTCAAAAGATGGCCAAGAAGAAGAATGAAAAAAACGACAGATAAAAATGGTCATGCTTTTCTGTATTCATTTAATGTATCCCCTCTTGTTTAGGTTAAAGTTGCTTAATTTTATATTTTGCTTAAAACCCTTTTTCAGAGATTTTACGTTTTTTAAATTACACACATTTGCTACTGTATTTTAAAAATAATTCCTTCATGCTAGTGCAGTAGAGGTTTTTACTTTCATTCTTAAAATAGGTTAAGAGTTTTAAAACTTATAAAATACTGTTAACTTAATACTAGACCAAAAATTAAAACTTCAGTAGAGGTTTTTACTTCCATTTTAAATAAAATGAAGCTTTTTTTTTTGAAAAAACATGACAGTATCTCAAAATTAAAATAAATGACTAACAATTTCTTCTTCAAGAAATTTCTATTTGCTTAAAAGTATGAAAAAATTGATTTTAAAAACTTGAAGCAGCTAACTCTAAAATTGACAGATGATACACTGCTACCTAAGTAATTTTCTATGGCACAAAATTTTAGAATGCCACACTCTAAACTAATTACAAGAATACTTGGAAGTCATGTTGTAATTTTAAGTTGTATTACCAACTATAGTTGAATTCTTATTTTACTATAATAGTGGACTAGGTGAATCAAAATCATCACCAACTTACCGGCTAGTGGAGTCAAAAGCAGATTTTAGTACATGATAATTTTCTTCCTTGTCTAACCATCTCATAATTTCACTGATGAGAAAAAATACAGCAACAATTAAAGCTAATTCCTAATTTTCATATATTAAAATGTATTTTAAACAATGAAATATTAAAATGTATCTGCTCTGATTTCACTTAAACATTCTACACATCTAAACAAAAACTAGCTAATTGCATAATACATTACCATTGTTAGTTATTAGTAAGTAAGTAATTCTTAAAATATCAAATTTGTTGAGGTTGTTAACACTGACCTTTCTGTATGTAATAGTGAAAACCTAAGATTTAAACTGTCACATGACTAAGTATCTTTTATCTGGCTGATGATTTCAAAATATTAATATTGATTTGTGCAAGTATATAAAACTGTACACTTATGATTAATAAGTGTGCTAAAAGACCAATATGTATTAATATATACAATAAATTTCTGTTAAATCCACCCTAGATAAGAATTAAGTATATATATCTACAGCTCCTTTGATTAGCATTTGTGCAAGTATATAAAACTGTACACTTATGATTACTAAGTGTGGTAAAATACCAATATGTATTAATATATACAATAAATTTCTGTTAAATCCACCCTAGATAAGAATTAAGTATATATACCTACAGCTCCTTTGATTAGCGTAAGTCCAATAAATTACACTTAGAAAGTAATTTTTGGCTTTTTTACAAACATTACATCTTTATTGCAAGAGCCTCCTTAATATGTTAAATCCACCCTAGATAAGAATTAAGTATATATACCTACAGCTCCTTTTATTAGCATCAGTCTAATAAATGACACTTAGAAAGTAATTTTTGGCTTTTTTCAAAACATTACATCTTTATTGCAAGAGCCTCCTTAATATGTAGGCTTTATTCACTGAAAGCTGAGAAAAACAGTATCAAATTACTGTTTTCTCACAGGACATCTTATATTCATTTTTCACATGTGCAAACCCTCACGAGTTGTTATAAGATGAGAATGAAGTTTCATACATGCTCTTGAAAAAAAGCTTCAACAACTTGTTCATTTATAATAAAAGAAACCCTAATCTTGAGGTTGATATTAACAGCTTTTTGGATAAAGTTCCCTTATGATGGGTTGAAATGATAGAGAGAAAAGTAAGATAATATACAGTATGACAATCCAACACTCACCCTGCCTGTTGTGCAGATGGCAAACGAATGACAGGTCCACGGGTCATTCCACTAGCTACAATACTGCTATGCACTCCACCTGCCAACTGAAGTTAAAATAAGGCCTGAATCAAGTTAAATAGACAAACAGAAACTTTCATATGGGTGAATATGTTTAGCATACTATTTATTACTTCAATAACTTCAATGATCAAGAGTTGTTTAAGTCTTGTTAATTTCTCCAACTTACAGAATCTCTATAAAAAATTTATTATAAAAGCTGATTATTTCTCCTCTCTCAAAGGTTTCAGAATAAAACACTATCAGGGTATTGGAAAAAAACACTATCAGAAATTACAAACAGAGTTTCTCTATTGGAAAAAACACTATCAGAAATTACAAACAGAGTTTCTCTATTGGAAAAAAACACTATCAGAAATTACAAACAGAGTTTCTCTATTGGAAAAAAAAAGTTTTAGAAATATTTTATCATTTAATACTTTTAACAGTTTGAATTATTTTCATGTATAAAAGACCATCCTATAAAATTGAACATGCTCACAGGTTTGTAAACATCAAAATATGAAATGTAAAAACAATTTTTGTAAAGAAAATACATGCACCTTTTTAAAACAATGGAAAGGGGATCTATTTTATTTATCCACCAAAAAGGTTAAGACATTCAGGGAAAAATTTTTGAAATGATATGGAATGGATATATATAAAAAAAATTTTTTTTACAATTTTACTCATTTAAAGTGCATTTTTCTGAACAGTTCTAATTATGCTTTAAAGCAAAATTTATAAATAACTTACAATAAAAATTTTATTTTAAATTTCTGACATCCTAAATATATTTCTTTTTCTCACCCGTAATGGAATAAGGTTTCTCCACCACTTACATCAGAAACGTGTTTAAAAATTATCTTGAGAAAAAACTAATCTAAAAACCTGAGTTCAATATGTTGGTTCTCTACACATTTCAAAATCATTCTAGGGCTCAGGTAATTAAATTTTAATCGCATTTGTCAAAAGATCTGGATCACTTGTTTCTATTATAGAATATATGTTATGTTAATTCCTGTAAAAATAATATTTGTAAAATATTTATATCTCCTAAAAACAAAATTTTCAACAATTAAGTTCCTATGCTCATATTATGTGTTGAAATCTTAGTCTAAAAAAACTACTTTTTATTAGGTTAATTTACATTTTAGAGCATGCAACTTAGTAATAAGAATAAAATACAAATTACACTAAGAGCTCTGCATCCTCTGTTTGTACTTGCTACCAAGCAACCCTCTGTTGTAGCCATGGGAACATAGTAGGTTTTGTTGTCGAGAAGTAACGGTCCTGCTACACCAACTGGTACGGGAACATAGCCAATCACATTTTCACAGCATGCACCCATAACCTGCCTCCCAAAAAAGAGAATTTCAGATTAGGAAATTGCAGTTATCGCATGATCATCATATTCAATTCAAAGAACTAACAGTTAATATATTGGAATCAAACTTCACTGAGGTATATTCTTGAATCTATTTTATGATTTATATTCTTATAACAGGATTAAATCTACCAGTAAGAAACTTATGTATACAGGGAAATAAGTATACGTATATATATCACTCATTCAAATTATTTAATTAGCATGAAACATCAACCATATTTCTGCAAAACTGCCTAAGTACAATAATTTACCTAGAGATGTAGAACAAGTAACTATAGCAGAAGTAGACTGCACATAACTAACTTATCTAAAAATTACCATAGTTCACCTGACTTACGAGTAGCCTGTCTTACCAGAGAGTAGTCACAGTTGGTGTATGGTAGCCTGCTTTACCAGAGAGTAGTCACAGTTGGTGTATGGTAACCTGTCTTACCAGAGAGTAGTCACAGTTGGTGTATGGTAACCTGTCTTACCAGAGAGTAGTCACAGTTGGTGTATGGTAACCTGTCTTACCAAAGAGTAGTCACAGTTGGTGTATGGTAACCTATCTTACCAAAGAGTAGTCACAATTGGTGTATGGTAACCTGTCTTACCAGAGAGTAGTCATAGTTGGTGTATGGTAATCCTTCAAGAGCCTCATAATAATTTGATGATTTGGCAATAAGTTGTCGTCGTATGTGAACACCCCGTTCTGGGTTGTTTAAGACACTTTCTAACTTGTATGTGGCTATCACTTTGTTTTCCACTAACATAAGAACTTCTTCATCAGTTAGCTGGACTACTCCTTCCTGGATTGAAATAAAAAAAGAAATAATAAAGTTATTACTAACATGTGAAACTCATTACTTACAATGATGCAAGTTGAAATAATTTACAATACTGCTTCTTAATGTCAAAGATGAGATCTTGTTGGCTATTTTTATAGCTTTCTCCATTCTTCACATCTCTTCAATCAATTATTCTGTCTACAAGAGTATACAGGATTTTGGCTAAACTTAAGTGCATAAATGAACATGTTTCTATTAAAGAACGATATTCTATGATGATATCACAAAAATAAACCTATATAATCTTAAAGACATTTACTGATTAGTAAGCATGCTTGTGTATCAACATTTAAAACCTTAAAGAAAGCCTAAAGGTGAAACATTATCCCTAAAAGTCCCTTTTACTTCAAGTAGTACATCAGAATTTGGTTCACATAGTTTACCATGGTTATTTTATTTTCAGTCTCCTAGTTAAATATGTTTAATGTAAAGCCATCAAATTATAAAATCAAGCAAACATAAACACATGCACACACGATTCAATATGGTCCTTTAAAGCTCCACCACCAGGGGTTTTGGAGTGATTTCCCAAATTGTATCGTTAGATTAAGTAACTTAAAGACATTATACTAAGATTTACCTTACTTAAGCACACTGAGTGAACAACAAATACTTTTACTAAATAATTCTCCCAAAGAATAGAATGACACAACTTTTCATCAGTCCTGCACCTAACCTTGCTCACTGTCAACTTCAGTAGTAATTGTATATATCCATAGTTTTGTGCTTATGTTATTCTGTAAATCTTATAAAATGTTTTAAACTATTTTTATTATCTTTCGTTCTGCTTCTCATCTAATTTAGGCAGAAGTTAATGTTATCAAGGTTGATATAAGATACAATAAAAAAACATACAAATGAGCACCTTAAAATAAGGGTTAACATTATGGTCAGAAGTTTCTTTTCTTTTTTTTATCATGGTTGATGTAAGATAGGATAACAAACCATACAAGTTAGCACCTCGAAATAAGGGTTAACATTGTGGTTAAAAGTTTTTTTTTTTTTTATCATGGTTGATGTAAGATACAATAAAAATACCATACAAGTTAGCACCTTGAAATAAGGGTTAACATTATAGTCAGAAGTTGTTTTATTTCATCATTGTTGATGTATGATACAACAGAAAAGATATACAAGTGAGCCTTGAACTGAGGGTTAACATTATGGTCAGAAGTTGTTTCTGTTTCTTTATCATGGTTGATGTAAGATACAATAAACAACCATACAAGGGAGCCTTGAAATAAGGGTTAACATTATGGCTAGAAGTTGTTTTATTTCATCATTGTTGATGTATGATACAATAGAAAAATGATACAAGTGAGCCTTGAACTATGGGTCAAGATATAGTGAAATGTTCTTGAAATGACAACAGACAACTTTTCACATTTTGATTTTTTATATGCCTTAAATCAGTCATTCTCAACTGGTAGGCTGTGAAAAACACAGTTATGCACTGCTGGGGGCTGGGACAACTGTGACAGCCTTAAAATAATGATTATTAACTGCTTTGACAATTGTGCCAAACAATTAAGTGGGCTTGATGTGCAAAACATTGATAAACACTGCTTTACATTCAAATCTGAAAAACATTTCATTTTATTTGGAATATGTTACTATCACTGCTATGATTTAAACAAAAAACTCATGTTACAAGCAGTTATATTGCATATGAATATTTGTTGAAATCAGAAATACCTTAGGCCAACATTTCCAACAACTATTCAAGAGCTGCACTTGTATGATTAACATTTGGTGCTTCTAAAAAGAACCAAAGACTTTCATTTTATTATCTTTGGTTCCTAACAGAAAAATTACTAATATTTTGTCTACATGTTGCTTTGAAATTCTTCTGGACTACATTAGTTTACATCTGAGCTTCAGAGTTAAATGTTTTAAATACATAGTAAAAGTTAACTTACAGATATACAACAAAAGATAAAGTATTTTTTACAGGCCCTAACTTCTAGGTCTTCATTAGCTTTGATGAAGATTCAGCTAAGTTTTTTTACATACCTCACCTTCATTCTCCTTTCTATTCATCACTTGTGGAAATATTAAATATTATAACATCAAGATATTGTAACTGTTACCTCTGAGTTTAGAAGCTGAGTGCATTCTTCTAACGTACGTGGTTCTCGATTTCGAAGAGAAGATATGTTACTTTCTTCCAAAAAGAATGATTCTTCTGTTTGTATCTCCTTCTCCATATATTCTTTTTTTTCCACCTCCCAATTTTCGTCTTCTCCTACTACAAAAGATATTCTCTTCGTCAAAGTAGCCAGTGATGGGACAGGACCAACAGAAGGATGCGAACTGTTTGACTGGAAACCTGACAAGAGAGAAGAGCAAAGAACACAATTATTAAAGTATTATTTGATCAAATATATGTATTTTATCAAAAAAATACCATTGTTTAGGATCTGTGGCAGAGATACTTTAGTACTATATGATATGATGACAGAACATTTTAAATGAAAAAAGATATCTGTTTTATATATACTGAAAAAAAGAAGTAAATTATCAACAATAAAGCATTTCTTCTGTACATGTAGAAATACCCCAAAAACCAGACACTCCTGTGACTCTAGGACTTAATTAATAATAATAATAAAAAGAAAAAAACACACCAAAAAAACAGATTTTGTGCATATAACATTTAATTAATTAATTAAGCACCATGTTTAATTTTGTCATCATTAATATAATCCCTATAGAACTAGATGTTTCAAAAGCTTACTTTCAGGACATAGTCCAGGATACAGTTATTCCAAAAACAATAACAAACATTTAATATTAAGAAATTAAAATGCTGTTAACAAAACATTTACTTGTTAATACTTCTTTCGAGTTTAGTATCATTATGTGAAGTTTTCCAACTCATGTTCTCTGCAGCTCCACTAATATATAGTGTGATTTATTCATTAACCCTTTGAGTATGTGATTAAACTTTGGGTGGGTTCTCGAAAAGTGTCAATTATTCGCTATAAAATGAAATTTAGAATTTGACCTATTTTAATAGTTTTTCAATATCAAAATCCACTAGTTGCAGTTTTGCTCAATGATGTACACATGCACAGCAATAAAGTGGGAAATTCAAAGACGTGCAAGTATCCTGATTCTCACTCCATAAGGACAGTTTTTGCAACACTGAGGTAAATCCGCTTGTCACACCAAATGGCTATAAATTTCAAGTTGAATAAATCTGATTATAGCATCCAAAGGTTAAAAACCATTACAGTTTTTGATGTAGTTATATAACTATGAGACACACATAAGTGGGCACAGAATCTGACAAATGCGAGTTGATATTAGCATGATAACTGTGCCTGTAATATATCAAAAAGTTTGAAATCAGTCTCAGTGTACATATTCAGCAGATGTGAAGCACAGTTTTGAGGTTTTTCTTTATACAAAGAACTTACTTAAATAAAAATGATATAATTAATAACCCTTGCACTGCTTTTTTGTTCAAAAATGTTAAAATTAAAACTATTTAACTCACACAGAAACAATGCAATCAAATGGCAACTCTTAATGCTGACATCCTAAGAATTATACTACACCCCCTCTCTCTTCCACTTTAAAAGTTAAGTTAGTTTTACCTTTGTGACTTTAGTGAAAGAATACAACTAAATATTATGATGGTTACTGTTACAGAGTATAGAACTTCTGCTACTCTGAACAGTTGAACACTTGAATAAAAAAAAAAATAAATTTTATTCATTTGTCATTGTAAAAATCAGTCTTTCCATAGATTTAGCAGTATTTTTATGCTTGTCAATCATTGGGACACTTTTGGAGAAAAAAATAACAACAGAAGACATGATGTTACTGATTACATGTCATACATATGTCTTTAGTAATGTTAAAAAAAAATATTTAATTTGTAATGACTGAAATCCTGAATCAAATAATTTCAAATTTTGCTGATAGAAGTTATGTATGAAGTAATTTCAGAGCAAAATATTATTTTACGTTCTGAAGTTAATACATTGTCAGATTCTGACAGGTTTACCTTCTTTGGTTATACTGCAATCTGTAACACAGTGGCTGGTGTTGTTGAAACTTTCATTAAATCTTGATGATGCTGCCGCTGCTGCCAGTTGCTCTTGTAATTCTTCTCGATTTTCAAAAAAGATATATTTAATTATCAAAGCACAAGCCAGCACTAACATAACCAGCTGCTCAGGGCTAACAGCAAACCATCTGAAAACACAAAACAAATCCACTAGAAATTGTTTCTACTAAGATTGTTGTCGAAGATATTTTAGTAAGCAAGGAGAAGTAAACTACAATAAAAATATACAACATTTAAGTAGCTTAATAAAATGAAAAATTTAATATATATATATATATATATATATATATATATATACACATAATAAAATATAAAACAATACCTTTGTAGAAATGGGTCAAAATCAGAGTTATTGTCAGAAGAGTATATTCTTTCTGGTCCGACAGCTCTACCCTCATGGTGATCAAACACTGAATCATTTTCCACAACTGGCCAACGGCTTTGAACATGGACAAGTACTAGTCCAGCTGACTGAAGAAAATAAAAGTTTAGCTAACTAACAGAATTTCATCCTTTAACATCATGCTGCTTTACTAGTCACTATCTTTAAAACTTTGGTTAGGCATGTAGCAAAGGTGTTACATATATTTCCAAAGATGACGATTCAAAAACATTTTTTTTTATATCAATAGATGGAATTACAATATTTAAAGTGAGCAAGATCTTCCTTTTTATAAAGCTATCAGAAAAAAAAAAACAGTCAATAGTTTCAACTACACAAAACTTTATTAAAGGAAAATATAAAATAAATACCACAAGCATTATTTAAGACTATTGCTGTTTCAACTACTACAGTTTTAATTTACTTAAAACTGACAAAATGATCAATAATCTCTGAAATAAACTGATCATATATCTTGTAATTACTGAACAATAAAACAAAATTTTTATAATCTGATAACTTTTACTCTTTGTAACACCTACCAACAACAAAGTTTGTATAATCTGCCTGTGATAACTTTTACTCTCTGTAACACATACACAACAGTAAATAGTGTTTACAAACTGACCATGATAACTTTCACTCTCTGTAACACTGGGTTTGGTTTCTGTTCCTCTTCTTGCTGTAGCACTTTGGTTAGATGACCCAGCTGCCATACAGGCCTCCCCTCCTCTTGTTCTCGTGAAAGCTTGAGTAAACAGTGTAGTGTAACCAACTTACTCAGTAAAATTGTATAAATATGTATGTGTAAAATATAGATACATTTCAAGAACACATTCACAAATGAAATGTTTCTTAAGTTAGAGCAGAAAGCATATTTTTACTAGACAAAAAAAATTTATCCTGGGTGGAGTTTTAGAGCAAAGCCACATAGCGCTGTGTCCAATGTGGGGAAATCAAACAACACCAGATTTAGTCTTGTAAGACTGCAAACTTATTGCTGACCCACCACATGATAGGGTTGAGAGTTATACTCTCAGAAAATGTACAGTGTAGTACATCCAACTACAAAAGAAAAATAAATTTATCCAACTCCGACTTTATCTTAATTAAAATCAATATTTTGTTTGAATGTATATATATATATACACACATATTTACAATGCAGTAATATACATCAAATCAGTAGTTACCTTTTTTAAATAATTTAATTACTATGAGTATTTATGTGCAATGACATGTGCCAATATTTTTATTGTATTTCAGTAACAATTCAAATTATGGTTATACAACAAGTTATGTAGTTGTGTACATGTTGATATTTTCTGAACCCGCCAAAATATTAATTTCCAAATCTTGTTTGTCTCATTTTACAAAAACATTTAAGAATAATTTTGGGTTGTAACAACTCTTTTACTTTACAAAAAATAAAATACAAATTTTAGTAGTTGTATTAAGATGTTGTACTGAATTAGCTCAGTAACAATACTAGTATATACGCAAAGCTGGCCCACCAAAACCAGTATTAGCTCAGTAACAATATTAGTATATACACAAAGCTGGCCCACCAAAACCAGAAGTGGAATGGTGAGTTTATCTATATAAAATCAAGAAACAGTTCTTCCAATGTCAAGTAATAAAGAACTCTGTACATGATACTACAAACTGTCTGAAATTCATACAAAATATTTAAAATAAAATTGATATCAGGTTATCTGGAACTTTGTAAAGTACACTCAATGTTTAAGTTTTTATTTGAGAAATTACTCTTATTATGTTGAAAAGTAAGAGGTTAGAATTTAGAAACAATACTGTGAACTCTCTCCTGTAAGGCATAATGACACAAAACAAGCCAGTGTCATTATATATATATCCTACACAATTCTGGAAATCTTTGGTTTGGATGTGTAAAATCTTTTGCTTTAACTGTGAACTATAAGCCCTGGTGTATAGAACAGTACAAAATAATTCAGTTTTTGTAAGTACATTGTCTTTAAATTATAGTATGATTTGATTCTTCCTGCAGGATGGAGTGGTTAGAAGTCTTTTGTTACAGTTAATATTTGTCGATCATGAACACAGTGGTACTGGTAGATCTAAGGATGTGCTTGTGTGTAGGTGGATTGTTTTTTGTACAGCTGTCACTTCTGATTTAATATAACATTTTCAACCAAACAAAGAAAAAAAAAGGCAAAGGAATATGGGGCTGGTTCACTGGAATAATGTAATTATTCCAGCACTCAATATTTACCTTAGCACATATACACAGTCTTTATTTCTGAGAAGCTTATTACAGGTTTTATTTGATATCAGTCACTCTGTATGGTAGTAATTTAAGCCTTGAAATGCTTTTATGGTATTGACAGAGAACATGGGTATCTTTTATTTTTCTATATTAGTCTACCAATTTATTGCTTATTTCTGTAAAAGTAAGTTACTTTTTAATTAATTCAGAAGAAATCACATGTCCTATCAAACTTAAATATTGTTTCTAGACAACTACAGCATTAAATTATACTTGTTTATTCTTTTATGAATGTTTAATCTCATTCACATACACATTCTTTCAAACATTTTTCATGTTAAGTAATCCTTCATGAAATCATTTAACCTTATAGAGATGGTGCTGGTGTTTACCCCCCCCCCTCCTTCTGTGCTGCTTTAAATAGCTATGTTTACTACAATTACAAATTAGGTATATCTTCACAAAATTTTGTAAGCTTTTAATAAACATTCCAAGTATTTTATACACAAAGAAATCAGAATTTTTAATAAGATATTTTGCTAAAGGTTTCTGTGGATTCAGGGGTCTGAGAGCAAGGTGATTTTCATTGCTAAAAGTAAAAATTCTTTTTTTTTTATCTCACAGTTTTCATATTTAATTGGCACAAACTTTGGAATCATCTACATGAATATAAAGTTTGTATTTGATCTGTTATTTTCTCCATATAACACTAACTGTATCTGAATTAATGTACAGTGAAACTGAAATGATATATTGAAAAATGAACTTACCCAATTCTTTCTTAACTAATATGTTTCAAAAATAGGAGTTAATTTTTAGTTTACTTGTTCACATATAATTTTATTTTTAATGTTATAATCTTGTTGCCTGGCTTGAATGGTGTACAGTTCATTGATGCATGAAGCATGTCAATTATTAGGTAATCATTTTCCCATACGCTTGTGTACTGTATAGGTGAAGTGTGCACTATTTTACCTATCAAGCTAACTCTTATTAACATTATTTCTCACTTTTTTGAAAAAATTTCACCTTTCAAATATAAATTTACATAAATAATACATAATTCACTAAAATAGAATGCCAAAACCAACAATCATTTATTTGTCTTTGAAACTAAGATAATAACTGGGTTACAAACATTGTTAAATCTGTGATGTTCAACTTCTCTTACTGCCAAGTTAGATAATAGACATCTTGATAACGAATTTTGCTGCCAATTTCAAAATGACCAGTAAGGGCTTGTAATTTAAAATAAGCTCTTTCTATTGGTTATAAACAAGTCAATTAATGTGAGGCAGTTTTGAAAACTGTCTCACAAGTTAAAAACATTTTAATGCTAATTGTACTAACATATATTAATAATAGTGGTTTTATTAAATTTTAAAAGTAACCCTGTAAAAATGTCATGACATATGCAGAAGAGTCAAGTCGTTCACACAATATTAAAGTTATAACAAGATATTAAAGTAAATCGTATATTATGACAGCATACTTGTTGTGTTTGTTAAGTAAATACACCTACCTCCAGAACCAATGACAAACAAGCAGGGAAAAATGTCATGAAGACGATGTAGTTCACAACTGCTGACAAGCAAGCAAAGCAACATATTTCTTCCATCCTCTTTACTCCTGTAACAAAATCAGATTAGCTTTTATGCCAGCACAAAAAAAATCTTTAAGAAACTTATTTTTGAAGAACAATGTTTTATAGATTGTCTTTTCATTTAATTTCCACCAAAAATCAAAGATAAAACATAAGACTCAGTTTTAAAGTATAAATGAGGAAAATGTTTTAATAAATCTTTTCCTCTGATATCATTTTAAAACCAACAAATTTATTTTCTGCTTGTTAATTTATAAATTAATCAATCAGGTACTTAAACTCCATTTTTTCTAGTAGTTCAGATTAAGGAGGGCAACTGGATTTTTTTATAAGAACAACGTCTTAGGTCCTGTAATACCCCTACACTTATTTGCACCAATGCCAATCAAGATCAGTCTATTGATAATGGATTTTCCTTTACTACCTGGCACTGCATTTCTATTGTAACAAGCTTGTGCAAAAGAAAGTCAGGTCAATCATGGATTATGTACATTTTGATAAACTTTCCACAGACCCTCAACTGTACATGGTCATTGTCTGTCAAATGGAGTTGTTGTGATTCCAGTTCTTTTCTTATAAACATTCATTAATTTGGAGGTAAGGCTGGAAATGTGCAAGCTGTTATCATCTTGAAATCCTTATGATCTCGTTAATAGTACCAGAAGGTAGCCTAAATTCAACATAATGGCTTTCTGGGCCTTCCTTAACCCTTTCTGTACCAATTCTATTACGCTTACCAGGTTGTGCATGCACATGCAATACAAAGAGTCTCATTTTAAACACAGCCGTATTCAATTTGCAATACAAACAGTCCTGTTATAAACACAACTGTATTCACTTGCTTTAGGACTAACTGGATTAATAAATTATTTGAGTGAAGGAATTAATTGTTTAAATATGTACAAGAATGACATTGAATGAATAAAAGAAACTACTCTGAAAATGTCTACTTACAGTATTTGCTATATTTAACATCTGTGAATAATTATTCCTTATTTTGTTTGTTTGTTGTTAAGCACAAAGCTACATAACAGGCTATCTATGCTATGCAAATCATGGATATCAAAACCCGGTTTTTAGCGTTACAAGTTATCAGATTACCACTGAACCACTGGAGAGGGGGTGTATTAATAAACATGGCATGACATAACTTTTAGTTTTCACTAAATTACTTCCTAGACTGGAAGAACTGTTTGGTATTTCACTATAAGTGCACATGAAATATCATAGGTTTAAATTTAGTTGTACCATTTATCTATTTCTTTAGACTTGATATTTTACTATAAGTGCACATGAAAAGTCATGGGTTTAAATTTAGTTGTACCATTTATCTATTTATTTAGACTTGATATTTTACTATAAGTGCACATGAAAAGTCATGGGTTTAAATTTAGTTGTACCATTTATCTATTTATTCATACCTTTCACACACGCATATACAACTTCTTGAATTTAAAACATTTCTTTAAAATGATACCTCAGTTACCCAAAGAAATTTTACAGTAATGCTTAAGACACAGATTCTCCTCCACTAAAAGCCAAGGCAGACCATGATACCTATTTGCTTACCTTTTTTTTTCTTGGATTACTTTAAATTACTCAAAATAAATCTATGTTAAGAAAGTGTAATTTATAAACTTTCAATGTTAAATATTATGTTTCTGTAGCTCATATAAAATATAAATAAAACTGTATTTCAACCTAGAGAAGTACCACATTTCTCCTGCAGTAAAAGTCAACTGATTAGTTGTCATACGAATAACTGTGAAATGCATACGAGTTTATTACTGAATTATAATTATATAAAATTTTAATTTTTCTAAACAAATATACCATTGTAATGAATCTAAACATTTTTTATAAACGTAAATGTGGATAACACAAGTTAATGTATACAATATTGATGTTATTTTTGTATTAATATGAATACTCTGAATGACAAACACATCATAAATATTTTATATAAATTCTCATTTAACCTGAATACATTGATATTTTACACCAAAAAAGCACACTACCCACCAGAGATTGTACCAACTCCAATAACTAATGTTTCAACTATGGTGTCCAGGGTAATTTTAGGCCCAAGTATCCTCATACCTTTAGCAATGTTTTCTCTCACATCCTCCTGAAATACATAAATCAGTAACTTAACAAACACACCACTAAAATGTTGACAGCCAAACATTTTATTCCAATATTACCTTTAGCAATGTTTTCTCTCACATCCTTCTGAAATACATAAATCACTAGCTTAATGAACACATCACTAAAAGGTTCATAGCCAAATAGAAAACACTTCATTCCAATATTAACCTTTAGCAATGTTTACTTTGAAGATACTGTTTCTGTATGTGTGGTGAGTAAGCACATTTAGCTGTAAATTATAACATAATACAGCTAATAAGCAGGTAATAAAACAGAATTCAAATTGATGCAAGTTCATGATGTTCACAATAAACCAAACAGGGGGTATATGCACATGAAAAAATCTATAGGTTTTAAGAAAGTATTCAGGAAAAGTGAGATTCAATGTGGGTTTGTTACTGATTTATGAAACATGGAAGTTAACTGTTCTAAGAACCTATCACTAGAAACACTCAATGATTACTTTAAAATTTCAGCTAGTAAGACAGGGAAACTTTGGCCACAGATCACAAAAACTAGAAACTACTTATGATGCTGTAACAAGTAGGCAAGTTTTTATGCAGCTCTCATTTCCAGTCTTAAATAATAATTTTCCTAAAAATGGAAAAATATCAAAATACATAAGAGTCATGAGCAATTTTTGAACTGTAAACTTAATAAACCGAACAAATAAATTTGAATAGTCCTAACATAATCTTTATATCAAGAACATGGCAACATATTTTGAACATGCAAACAAATTACTTGAAAAAAAAATACAACACCAATTAAGATGGTTTAAATACCCTCCATCAAAAATAGTTTTAATCAAAAACAGATTTAGATTTCAAAAATACAGTTAAAATGTTGAAAGTTGGTGAATCACTAGAAATTAATAGACATAACTTTTGTGGTAAAACAAAGTAAACTGCAGGTATTCTTTTTGCTTCATATTCCTCTTAATTTGTCTAATTCAGTTTTCAAATTAGAGGTGTATAAAAATAGCATTTGAGATCTGTTTTCTAAGATCTAGAAGTCATTGCCTAAGAGGTTTTTTGTTCAATACTAGAACTCATCAGTTGAGCCAGATGATGAACAATCAAGAACATTATTTATATAGAAACATCTACAGTTTATGTGATCACACATGCTGGGCTTATTGATTTTCAGTGTTTTGTCTCCTTTTGACATTTAAACCATGACTTTCAAAGTCTTATACTGTATATATAAATGGAATTTTATTTGCTATAATCTTGCCTAACTGACAAGTTCCACTAAGGAACAAAAGGTCACTTGTGCAGCAACTTGTGGAGACAGAAGAAAAGTCTGAAATGCTATTTTTATGCACTTTCTATTTGAAATCTGAACACGGAAATTAAAAGAATTAGTTAAAAACAATCTACAATTTATGTAATTGTTATCACATATTTTAAGACTTACATTTCAACAGAATCATAAAGATCATGTACTTATATTGTAAAACTTATTCAATATTCTTATCACATCATAATAAATTAACAATGAATTTTTATCCATAATAATTTCCATCCATCACTAACCTGCGTAGAAGAACTGAGAGCAAACTGTGCTAAAAGTCCAGTTTTGGAGAGGTCTATGAGAATAAGAAAGAAAGGCAATGCCTCACTGGAAGAAGGAGAAAAAAAAACTGCTTCAAATTTACATTTGAAGATATAAAGATTGTATGCATTGCTATGTATGTTCTTTTAAATACACAATTGATACCGAATACAAAATTTCAATTTCAATATACTTAAGAAACCAAAAATAATTATCTGGTTTATCTACCTTGCTTACACTTTCTGTTTGCAAGTCATCCAATATCTCATTAAATATATATACAAATGTTTTGAAGGCCCTTTTAAACAAAATGAAGAAAACCAGAGCAATCTATAAAACAAAGTTACCTACTTAAGTTCAGAGAAGTTCCCTTCCAGAAAATTAACCACACTGGTACTGAAGACAAAACTAGAAAAGATGGTAAAGAGAGCAGCCACACCTGGAAAGAAAAATTACATTGTGACATATCAAAATACATTAAACCTGATATTCTGATAACATGAAATATAAAGGTAGATAGATGTTTATATTATCATGTTTCAGTTTTTTAAAACTGCAAAGTTGCTTTCCAAGTTTGAGACTTTGTTTCTGTTTTCAATCAATTGGTTTACACATAAAAAAACAAAAACACTTTGGACGAAAACTTATGGTCAAGTTACTTAAGATATTTTAGTGCCTATGAGTAATAACTATCTGGAAACTCTTACTCATGTTCAACTGTCTTTCCAAAGAGAAATACATTCTCTAATAAATGTGTACAGAAAATAAATAATCACAGACTTGCTTTCTCTTACAATCAAATGAATTGTGATATATTTTAAAGTTCTCTACTATTATTTATCATATTTCTTTAGTTCAAGTATCATCCAATAGATTCGTTGTAATGCTTTGTTAAGATTAAACATGTTCATGAAACATCAGTTAATACTACATTGTGTTTTAATAAGTTCTTGCTGAGGGACACACTACTGGTTTTATACTTTATAATAACATACATAATCTTTTATTTTTCTATACATGTTACAATTTTAATTATCATTGTTTTTATATTTTACATGCCACCATATATAAGAGGTTTTATTATTGTCCACAATACCATTATATTTAGATGGGGTTTAACTACAACAAATAGTCTTAAACATTATTTTTATCCTAGGATAACTCCCTATCATTGTTTGAAAGTATATGTTAGAGCCTACAGATCATGTCCTTTTCTGATATTCATGCTCAGTCCCAGCCACATTGACTGTGCTATAAGGAAACTTTGAACTTTAACTATGTGTGTGCTAAAAGTAGTTACAACCAGGAATAACGAACCTAAGATATTTTTATCATTTCACCTTGGAACTTTGTAACACTACCAAAGAGCAGTTATATCTTTTTTTTTTACAATGAAAAAACAACAACAACAAAACAATGAAATTTATTATAATATTTTACTTCAGAGAAAATTGTAAGTAGTATTTTCTCTCTAGAAATTCACAAGATATTTACTGCTTGAATAGTGTATTTATATACAACATTTTAGATAGTTTTACTGAAGCTAAAAGCAGACATTGCATATACATCAAATACTGTAGCTTATAAGTAGTTGAAAAGATAATTCACTCTTTAATGTTACATATGAGTATAGAAAATTAACTTCTATTTTATAATTATTATAAAAATAGCCAAATCATCTCATACAATGACCAAGGATGTGGTGGAAAGAACAATAAGAAAACATACAAAGAAAAAACAGTAAACTTGTAACAAGCTATGCTTGAAATAAGACAATATTTTGACTCAAACATAGCATAAAAGTGTAAAAAAGGTCTTATAGCAGTAAAGATAAATTACATTACAGAAACTAATACAATTTTTAGCTTTATAAAGCAGCTTATCATTAAAACTAAATGTTTCATAGGTCTCACAGGATTTTTTTGTTTGTTTGTCAGTAAGATATCAAAACACATGTATGTTGGTTATATATATATTTCCCTATTTCATGACAATTAGGAACTCACTTGAAGTAAATATATACACAGTAAAGACAGAGGATACGTTTTTCAATACCCATATCAGCCATGTATACAATATATATATATATATATAAAGACCACTACAAATAGTAAATTCTTAAGAACTCTCACATTTTAAAGACAAAATTAATTAAAAATCTATAATTACAAACA